TCCATGTCGAATCTATCAAATCCCTATGTCTTGCATCCATCCACAGACTGAAATGCCCGTGCTCCCTGCTCCACGGTAGACTGGCTCACTTAGTCCTGGCCTGGTAAGCAGCGCGTCCCTCGGTGGTGGCGACAGTGCTGCAGTCTCTTTCTGTGCGTATTTAGGCTCGCGCGAAAAACCTCTGATAATCGTGTGACAATTGTAAGTTGTCAACCAGTCGCAGCGACGTCACTCGAGCAACTTGTCGCGATAGCCCTGTTAGATCAGGTGAGCTCTCCGCTGTAGCTCGCGTGAGCGAAACCAATTAATGTGCAAACCAGCGAGGCGTGATTTTAGGAGTGTGATGTGCAGACCGCAGTAGGCGCTGTGCCAGCCTCATTCCTCTGCATTTCCCGCGGATGCAGACTCTAGCATGACAAATGAAATGAAGGCCAGCAGTCCGCCCTCTTCTCACTGACCAACTGCGATACGCAGGGGCCCTTCTCTGGTCAAGGATGCACGGAGTGCTGTTAAAATGGCTAATGAGTCTTGTCGTCACATGTTTATGAAATACCTTGGCACCAAATGAGACCGCTAGAATAGCTGACGTGCAGCGCCATCCAATGGACGTACATAGTTATAGAGTTTATCTACTCGTTAAAGACTTAAAGGCATTGCAGCGAATAAACTTTATATAGAAATTACAGATTATGTGTATGGTGCACTCCCTGAGGTTGGACACAAGCTGTTTTCCAAAACAAAACATAAAGAATCAAATTATATCAAAATATAGAATCAAATTATATTACCGCTGAAATAACCAATTACATTAAAAATCTGAATCATAATCAGAAAACATTATTGATCCCTAGGGGAAATTGTGTGGGTTACAGTGCTCCAGTACAAACGGTAACAAAAACAGACAATACAAGAAGTAAGAAATAGCACAATATATACAATATATACATACATATAAGTCACTTACTAATAAATATCTGAATAAGAAAGAAGAGCATGTGCAAAAAGGGTGTAGCTATCACAGTGTATACAGTGTGTTAGGTGGAGGAGTTGTACTGGAAGATGGCCACATGCAGGAATGATTTCCTGTGTCGTTCAGTGGTGCTTTTTGGTAATCTCAGTCTCAGTCTGAACGTGCTCCTGTGGCTAGCCAGCATGCCATGGAGTGGGTGGGAGGAATTATCCAACATTGTCTTTATCTTGGATAACATTTGCCTCTCCGACACCACCTTAAGAGAGTCCAGCTCCATCCCCACAACATTGCTGGCCTTGCAGATCAGTTTATTGAGTCTGTAGGCATCAGCAACCCTCAATCTGCTCCCCCAGCATGCAACAGCGTAGAGGATTGCACTGGCCACCACAGACTCGTAGAAAATCCTGAGCATTGTCCGACAGATGTTGAAGGACCTCATCCACCTCAAAAAATAGAGACAACTCTGGCCCTTCCTGTAAAGTGCTGTGGTGTTTTTAGCCCAGTCCAGTTTATTGTCTATGTATACTCCGAAGTATTTATAGTCATCCACAATGTCAACATTGACCCCCTGGATTAAACAGGGGCCAAGTGTTTCCTGGTCTTCCTGAAGTCCACAATCAATTCCTTGGTCTTTGCCACGGTGAGCTGCAGATTATTCTGCTCACGTCATGTGACAAAGGAGTCGACCATAGCCCGGTACTCTGTCTCATCATCCCTGCTGATGCATCCAACCACCGCAATCATCAGAAAACTTCTGAAGATGGCAGGTCTCTGTGCAGTGGCCTAGGTCTGTGGTGTAGACGATGAAGAGGAAGGGGGAGAGGACAGTCCCTTGTGGTGCCCCTGTGTTGCTGATTACCTTGTCAGACACACAGTGTTAAAACAGACAGTTCCAATATAAAGTCAAATACAATTTAAGATAAAATAATCACTTCCAGTGCTATAATTTGAATTATTCTAATCTTCTAAGAGTGTAAAACATGGCTACTTATATTTATTTGACATGAGAGACACGTTCTTTATTTTAACAATATTTTCACAGCACAATAAAGGAATGGGGCATTTAAAAATAATAAATAATCTTGAACTATACCAGCTCACAGTAGGCTTATTACAGCCATTTTACCAGTCTTGGCTTTTGTTCTCTTGTAAAAAATAAAATAAAATGAAACATTTTATTGCTGAGTTCTAATGTACCATTTAACTGCAGGGCCCTTGCTACTGCTGTAATGTCTTTAGTCTGAGTCAATATAGATGATATCCTATTGGGTTCATTTCTATAGTACTTAAATGTAACATTAGCTTGAGCAATCAGAAATACACAGACCTGTGCTGGTCTAAATAAAAGTCTTAATGTGTTACAGTAAAAACCAGCAGTATGTTGACATAATGAGGTCAGCAGCGACGGCTCATGATGACAAACAGTTTCATAGGAAAACTGAGTAGTTAAAATGATAAGCTTGTCTTTAAAACAGCATGAACACCTTTAAAAAACAGAGGTTCCGGGATTCCAATATTGGTAAGATCTACAGTCAAATGCAAAAGGTTTTTTTTATGTATTTATGTTTTGCTTCCAACTATGTACAGCAAATGAACAGTATGTAAATGTAATGTCCTTAACAAATAGGGGGAAAAAAATCTAGCAAAGACCTGACCCAGGACCTGAGAGATGCATCTGGCCCTGTAGTTGATCTAGTTAGTGTTCACTGAAACCTCATCAGAAATATTTTGATGCATGCTCAATCATCCAGGTAAGTAAATCCCAAAAGGCTGATTCTGTTCATCTGGACGCAACATTTCCAGTAGGATAAACGTTTCATCACTCATCCAAATTACTTCTGCAGAGACGTCACTTGGATGAGTGACAAAATGTTTCTCCCAATTAAAAACACTACGTCGAGATGAACAGAATCAACCTTTTGGGACTCATCAGCAATGGTCTCAGTAGGTTGGCTGTCAAGAATCCATTCTTAAACAAAGACAACAAGGAGAAAAGGCTGATGCATGACAAATTACTGAACAACTGGACTAAAAATCAGCGGTAACAGGTCTTACAGAGTGAAAATTGAAAATTTGAAAATGTTGGTTCAAATTGTTGTCAGTATGTGCAGATGAGTTCAAGAGAGAGGTCCAACAGTGAGTGTTCACAGTCATCCGGGAAACACAGTGGAGATTCTGTCATGGTCGGAGCTGCATGTCAGCTAGTAATGTTGGGGATGGAATTATGCATTCAAAAAAGTACAACAGATTTCGATCCGCCACGCAGTACCATCTGGAAAGGATCTCATTTATTTTTCAGCATGACAGCGATCTGAAGCATATTGCCAGTGCAATACAAACAGACCTAGATAGCAAAATACACGATGAGGCACTAACAGTCATAGATGCCACCAATCACCAAAAGCCCAGATCTTAACATTACTTAAGTAGTGCGGGATCATCTTGACAGAGGATGCATTTTCCTAGCAATATAAAAAAAAGAAATGAAGAATGACTCAAGGCTTGCGCACATTATTGTATTAATATCTATCAAATACTAAAATTGCCTACAAATTAAGAGCAGTACATAGTAAAAGAAAAAAAACATGCGCTGTCCAAATAACAATTTGATTGAGTCAAGGGGTAAATGAGGCCAAGAAAGACAATCTAAAAACATCTACAATTATTTTATTGGCAAACTAAAATTGTTCAGCTATTTACACTTTACAAGCTACTGTAAATATGCAACACAAATATAAAAGGCATACATTTATATACATTATTTATATAAAGTCACCAAAGTCCAGAGACATTGTTATCTACTTGTAGCGACGTTATAATTAACTTCTTGAACTACAGCTCTAGTAACATATCACACAGATTTGCTTACATGCGTGATGGATTAACATTTGATATCATGTGGTGGCACATGTTTACCCCTGGAGAACCAATGGGGTCAGAGCCGACCCCATTGGTTTTCTAGGGAACCCTAGGGTTCTCCAGGGTTAAAAGCTATAGCATTTTAAAGCAGTAGTAGGTAGTCAGTTGTTATTTTGGCAAGATCCCTTAAAGTAACCCCAAGATCCCTTTAGTAACTTTGGTTACTGAACTTGATGAGACTAAACCACCAATAACACCACAAGGAGCTCAGCAAGTAAATGTGAAAAAGCAATACTGAAAAGGATACTGGATATTTCTTCTGCTCATGATTAGTCTGAAAAAAAAAAAAACCCAACTTAACCTGGAGTCAAAACTGCTACAAAAAACAGAAAATAGAGTTATATATAAATAAACTGAGAATTTGTCCTTGACTTTTCTAAAGCCTGGGAGTTGTTATACAATATAAAACCATCTTTGGGTAGAAGTTGAAAGTATTTGTCATAAGCTTTTCTAACTTTTGTCCATGAGAAAAATTTCCATTGGTTTAAAAGCTGTGAATTTATGGTTTATATTCATATATATTACATAATCTAAAGCCCCTGTAGTCTGTGAAAGCATACTCCTATGTAATTAGTCATACCCGTTATGGGTGTTGAGATCACTTTAAGCCAAAACTTGGGAGGTATTCCTCAACACACATGAATTAAACTAAAAAAAAGTCTTCTCTCTCTGAGCGTAATGACAGTAATCGTAATAGTCTGAGGGTTTTTTTTTTAAGAACGACTTTTTAACACGTAACACAAAACAGATTGGGACTTTAGTACGCTTCACTATAAGATGCCAAATGCACAGTTATTACTTAACATCTCTATGTGACAGTGCTGGAAGGCAAATCTCTGCTCACTACACCAAATACAGAACAGACTTGATCATGCAAAAAGATTAACTTCATGTTTATGGCCAACAAGACCAAGCAAATTACTATCAACTAGTGAAGCAATGACAATGCGACAGAATAACAAAAGCATCATCATCACATCAATCTATCAAATTAACTCATTTTAATTTTACAGATTTCCAGCAGGCAGAGCCAAAAAA